GCTAGAGAAAGATAAAATGTCTTATTTTATGGAATAGGATGACCCAAGTTTGTTTATCAATAATGTCTAGTGGGTTCTCAACAAAACTCTTGAGGCTAGAGAAGCCAAACTAATAATTTCTAAAAATTCTTGAATGCTTTCCTATAGCCATATGGCTAATTGTCCAAATATAGAGAAGTTGTACACATCATTTAAGACTTTTACTTCTTTTTTATGCTAAAAGTTAAGAGATGATAATGTTTCTACTAGGATGGAAGTCATAAAATTTACATAGGCCATTTTGTAAAACACATTCACGGCTTTATAGTCGATCATTCTATGAATGGATGGAAGAAGGATTAACCCATAAATGCCAAGCGCTAATATCCTTAGTTTGATGTCATTTTCCTATAATGTAGGTGCTCTTTGAAACATGGTTGAAATGTATCTCAATACCATTCTTGTGTATTTCCTCTAGCCTTATCCAAATGTCTTACCTTTTCCGTAGGTAGTTGTGTTATTTGTTGGTAATTTTCTAGTGTCGCTTCTCTTGAAAGGCATAAATAGATGAAGCATAGTGAAGCTGGACACTTAAATAGAGTGTGATATTTCTCAATTATTGAAGTATGGTCTATATTATCGAAGGTAAAGCAATGGTACTTCAAGTCCCAAAATCCTATCGAGTTTTATAAGGATGGCATTTGAACCTCCATCTTTATTAGAGCTGCTATTTATCTATATTTTCCTATAAAAAAAGACTAATCTTTTACCGATAATTTCTCCCAACACGATAGCAGCTTTTGTATGTCATTCACTTTATTGTCAAGCTTGAATTTTCTTTGTAGATCATTCTACCATTCAAGAGGTAAGTAATTTCCCTCAATTCTTTAGATAACTTTTGGACTTAATCCCACGACCAAGTAAATCATGCTCAACATTAATCTCTTCGACCATGGCTTATATTTTAAAAGCAAAGAACGAGATAGGGTAGTAAGGAATTAATAAATCTCCCTTTATCTTAGACGGGTACACCTATAGGATCCGCTATAAGTCATTAAGTATGGCTTAGACAGGATTATCTAATCCTAAAACCTTTTTTTAAAAGGTTTTTAGATTGTCCAAGTTATTAGTGAGGCAACTCAATTCCACCTTATGTGCATTAACCGTAGAGGATATTAAATCCTATAGGAGCTAGTGTGCATAGTATGAGTTCTATTTTGAGTGAAAAATCTTAGGAATACTTATTAGCCCCAAGGCCATGCATACCCCAAGATACTCCCTACCTACTCTTAGCCGAGGATCGGTATATAGTTGATAAAGGTATGCGGCTATCATGTGTTAATGATGTGTGTGCGAGAGAGTAAATATCTCACAAACAACCTCCAAAACAAAGCAAAAAACCACATAAGAATAAAGTAAGATAAAACAACATTAGACTAGAATAGAAAAGATTGATATTGCATAATGACACAAATAAATCCCAAAGAAAAAAATCTATGGTTGAACCTCTTATTTCCCAGTGGAGTCACAATTCGTCAAATGGTGACCTTTTGATGATTGAAAAAATAAATGTTTGAATAGTATAATCACCATTTATTTTTTCTAAAAGTAAAAATTAAGAAAAAAATTTAGCAAACTAGTCTTAAAGAGTTCTAGCTAAGAATGTTGATTGTATGGTTATAAAAGACGACAATCACTCTAATATACCCCTCTTAATGAGGCTACCATTCAATTCTAACCTTAGAATTTTCTACACACAAAGTCGAATTAAGTTCAACTTTTCTATCCTAATTCACGAGTTGATTATCGGCTTTTTTCTAATCAAACCTAAAGAAGATGATTTAGAGATAGAAATAAGGCTTAGTCTCTCACATAAATTGTTATTGGGTTGTTGAAGCCGACATGAAAAAGGTAAAAATCGAGACTAGAAGCCCATTATAAATTAAACAACCCCAAACCCAAACCAAAAGTATATAAAATTCAAATAAAATGAACTTGGACCATAAACCCAAATTCACCGTCCAAACTATGCAATAAATTACAAGTTTCAAACAAAATAATCTCAAAATATATACACGAACCTTGAGCCCATATCCACCTGCCATGCCATTTTTAAAATAAAAGTCATGGCTTAGTCCTAAGTCAACTTCAAAATAAAATTTGCAAGAAGAAAGAAATCAGTAGCATTGAAAAATAAAAGAAAAATAAGAATAAAAAATAAAATACAATGATAATAATCATATTAAAGAGCTCCGCCATTGGAATAGAGTTGGTCTCAAATACTAAACTTGGTCAATCTAGACTAGCCTAGACTAACATCACTTCAAATAAACATGAGTACAAACATAATAAAATTAATCATACAAGGACCACAAATTAAAATGACTCAATGGAAAACAAGATAACCAATTAGCCCTCAAAAGGTCCTCGGTCTTCTTAATTTGTATTGGTCCATTTATTTTTCCATCATAAAAAATGTTAGCTTATAGCTGATTTCATCATCGACTAACGATTCATTAGGGACTTGTTACATGAAAAATAAAAATAATATTACATATTAGGTCATTACCCTTAACCTTATATTTTTTTTAAGAAAATAATATTATAATAAATACATACATACATTTATATATAAGAAAATAAATCCTAAGAATATTAAATATTTTTCACCCCAATAAAGTTAAATTTCAAACACACATGAATCATAAGGAGCCTAAATTTAAAGCCTTTTAAATCTTTTGAATACTATAAAAAGCTTTAAATTCAAATCCCTTCAATTAAGCCTAAAACAAATGATTTTAATTCAATTACTTATCCAAATCTTATATTAATCGCATAATTAATATTATCGAAGGTGAATAATAAGATAATCATGCAATACATAAAATTTTGGATAAAAAATTAAATAAAAAATTAAAATGCAGGGCGTAATTACTAAATTAGAAGTTTGGGGTTTAGAATGGATGAAAGTTCACCAAAGATGGCGGAAGTTCAAATGACGCATGATAGTGGACCGATTGATCGAAATAAGCTTGTTCAAGTGGTGCTAGAATCGTTTGGGATAGATGATTGAGGAGGTTTAGCGCGTGATTGGTAATTGGTAGGCGATAAAAGCGACGGTTGAGTTTTTTCGACTACTCGTTTTGGCTTTGTATTTTTGGTCGTAAGGGTTTGTCTTTCTAGGTGGCACTCGTGTGTCCAAGTGTGGATAGGATAGTATGTATTTATAGGAAATGTCCAAGTTGGTTTAACCTAATTTTCTACTCTAATTTGGGCTAGGTCGGGATAGCCACAATTGGGCTAGGCAAGATTGGGCTTGGTGTACTGGACCTAGCTCACTCTAATTTTCTACCTAAATAACTAGTTGTCTAGCCCCCTTTTTTTATTTTATTTCTATTTTTTCCTTTTTTCTTTTTTTGTGTTTTTTTTTCTTGTTGATTCTTTTTTTTAATATATATATATATATATATTTTTTTTGCATTTTGTGGGGTAAAAATAGGTCGATAACATTAACACATAGAAAAATAATAATCCAAATCAAACTCAAAAACTCAAACAATTTTGGAACTTGATTTATCTATTTCAATAATTTTATGACTTATAACTACTACAAACAAACTCTTTTCTTCAAAACGAACAAATTGAAGGTAAGTTCGATGATCAAGGTGGTCGAATGAGCCTCGTAGTCTCTCTTTGTTCTATCTCTTTGTTTTTCTCTCACCTTAGCTTTTAGGGACTAAACCGCAATACAAAGGAAGTTCAAAATCGAAACAAAAATGTTTTTAAAAAATTAAGGACCAAATTATAATATTTTTTAAAAACTTGCATATCAAATATCGTAATATTGCGTGGAAATAACAATAATACCATAGTCAAACATAGTGACATTAAGGGGGTGTTTGATAACCTAATTAAGTATGTTAAAAAATCAAGTTGTACTACTTAATATAAAAAATCTTGTTTGATAACTTAAATGCTCTCATATTAAAACTTTAAGTTCGGTTAAAATTTACTTAATCGGATAAGTTAAAATTTTTAATTTATCCGATTAAGTCACTCTCTCTCTCTCTCTCTCTCTCTCTATATATATATATATATATATATATATAATATCGAATTTATAAATTATAATAATATATTTTAAAAAATAAAATACTCATTTGAAAAGCATAAAAATAATTCATTATATAAATTATAATAATATATTTTTAAAAAATAAAACATCGACGTTATAAAATTTTATTCAAAAATTCATATATTAAAAAATCAAATTTATTAACAAATAAAATGATATCAAAAATTAATTTGATGAGAATTTTAGTAAGAAAAAAATAATTGAAAAAAAAATTTTAAATAATAAGAGTAATATAATCGGATACATATGTTCAAACTAAAATCTTAAAAAATATCATATATATTCTATCATCTTCAAACATGCTTATTATATTCTATACTTAATTTTCAATAAATACCAAACAATTTATCAAAAACATATTTCGTATTTAACAGATTTAACACTTAAAATTTAATATTTAATAAATTCAATACTTACTTTTTAGGTTTATCAAATAACACCTAAGTCTATACCCACAGTGCCAATGGACATAGACCTGAGAAAGAATAGTGAATAGTGTAGCGTATGATGTTTGAGTGTTTTGCTTTAGTTTTATTTTGTAATTGTAATTTGTAATCTGTAATTTCGTTTATTTATTTGTCAGGAATAAATCGTCCACGACCCTCGTACGTTCGCACTCGCACCCATTACGCCGCTTCTGGTCAGCGAACAGGACACGTCCCTTTTCTTTCTATGTAAACAAACACTTTCAGCTTTGTATCAATACATTCACACCAAAAATAAATTAAAATCTTCAATCCATTTTCTCATCATCCAAACAGAGGGAAATCTCTCTCTCTCTCTCTCTCTCTCTCTCTCTCTCTCCCCCTCCCTCCATCAATCTAGGGTTTCACTGACTAAACGTCAACAACAAGCCTGATTCATTGATGTTCTTACGATCGCCAATATGATGCTCTCAAGAATCGGTCGCTCTCTTTCTCGCTCTGCTCGTTCAAAATTACAAAAAGTAAAAAGAAAAGAAAAAAAACCATCACTCCTCTTTTATTTATTTACTCTCAGTATTCATATTTTTTTTCTACAATTTTTTTTTTACAGTTACATAATTTATATAATTTTTTTTGGGTGTTTTGTAGAATGCAATTACCACAAGTAATTATTATTGTAATGCACGGACTGTGTTACTGAAGGAACTAATTTCGCAATCGGCAGCACTAGAGAACAATGGTGCACACGGGTTAGGAATTGTAAGAGGTTATTTATCTTATGCTGGAGCTGGGAAACAGGTTGTTTCGAGCACGCACTTGTCCAATTTGAATTCAATTCTTGCAAACCCAAGGGTTAGGCGCCTTTTCTGTAGTGAAGCTCCGAAGAAGAGAAGTAAGAAATATTTTTATCATTATTATTTTTTCTTGGAAATGTTTGGTTTGGTTTGGTATTGCGTGCTGATGTGTTTTTTAATGGTGGTTATTGTAGACTATGAGAATTATTTTCCAAAGCATAAGAAGGAAATTCCGAAAGCAAAGGAGACTAGATCGGAGTCTAAAGGTTCGTTCTTTTTTCCCGTTATTGTTATTATTGCTTGTTTTCTGGTTGTTTAAGGGATATGATGAATAGTTAATTCAAGGTGGGATCGTGTGTATGGCTAATCATGTTGAAACAACGTTGGATTGTTTATGTTTTCCATTTTAGGAGGAGATACATTGTATGCTAGCCAAGGCTATTTTGTTCCATAAGCAATTTAGGGTCTTTGATATATATTTTTCTTCAAGATGTTTGTGGGGTTTTCTTTGAGTAATTTTATCAGTCTCAAAATGTTGTCTTTTCTCTTTGTGTCTTTCCCACGGCCAGGTGTTTCTCGTCTGCATTAGTGAAGAGAAGGGATAATACTTACCTAGGTTCTGTTTCAGGAACTTTTAACACTGAAGTTTATTTTATCGTCTTTTATTCGAGCCATTTTATGTGCTTTGGTCTATATTTATCCATCTCTAATTGCATATTATTTGTAAAGATCACACTCAACTACTGAAGATGGAGACTTTAGTTCTGCATTTCCACTTAGCATGTGCAGTGAATGTTTTTTTTCTATGAAAGAGCTACATATGGCATTGAGGAAGTTTTTAACATGGTTTACTTGTTGATGAGCATTTTGGTAGGGATTTGTTACATATCCATATGAATTGTGGTCCGGTAACTGAATGCAGTAATTTTCAGCTGTTAAGGTCTTTGGGAGTTTGTGCATAACGGCAAAAGTGTCCATCACAATCAGAGGATGCAGCGCATATATAGCTGGGCTTTGGTGTTTCTTAAGAGTGATATAGTTGGAAATATTATTTCTGTAAACAATGTCTAGAAAAAGACACAATTGTAGATCACTCCTCAAAAATATTTTTGTCATCAGATGCAAGCATTTTTCTAATCTCATAAGAAGTTCAGTATAGTTTAAAATGCTTCTAATATTCTGACATTTGGTAGTCCCATCCAAATTACACTTTGGTACTCTATGATTGCCAATTTTTTTTTATTTTTAATTATTTATTTTTATGCTTTTGCAGAAGACTCAGGTGGTGCTGGCAGTGGAAATTCCCAGAACTTCATGAGGCAGATTCAAAATGTTGTCACTCCTTTACTATTCCTTGCCTTCGTGTATTCTTCAATGTTTTTCAATACTCAAGAGCAGAAGCAGGTTATAATTTCTGATCTACTCTTTGAATAGTTGGTGTGTCATTTCAAACTAATGCAATATGTCTAGAAATTTGAATTTTCCAGTACTCATAAACTTCTGTTGCTTCCCCACCCCCCACCCCTCGCCCCCGCTTCCATTATTATTGCTGTATAGAATGCTATGGACCTCAGTACTTTATGTTCCTGATGTGAAGTTCCTATGAACGTGAAGGTTTAGTCACCTTAGCATTTAAACAGTGCAGCTTCTTTGTGCTGTGGGCTTACTTAAAGTTCTTGTTGGAATTTTGCAATTATCGAACTCTAGAGTTCCATGCAGCACTAATCATACTTCAATCTTTCATATGTTCAGTTAATTGACTAAGTATATTTGAAGGATTCCAAATCATTGAGCTGATCCTCATATATCAGGAACCATCTACCATTTTGAAAAATAGCGTATTAAATGAAATAAAAGGTCAAACTAACTCCTTCTAATGGGAAAAATTGAAGTTTATCAATTCAACTTTCATATTTTGAAGACAATGGGTTGCTATGTTGAAGAAACTCTGGTAACATAGTTCACGTCAGTCATGTCCTTTGGGGAAGGGGACTATTTCGGCGATACTTCAATTGGGTGATAGTTTGTGCATGTCTCGATTATTGGTGGTTTTCATTTTCTCTATTTAAATATCATTCACATAATCTTCTGGCGTTATTTGAAATAAAGTTTAACCAGCTTGTAAATAGAGTTTGTAATTGGTCACTTGTTTTTTATAGATCCCATTAATGTTTAAATTCATTTCTCTGATCTCAAATTTGGACCCTCAAACTTATTTGTTTTGCTCTCTTCCTTTGTGCTTTTGTTTCTTTATATGAATATCTGACCTTGTCAAGAAAATCTCAATGCCATTCTTTCTGGGTCTGCTAAAGATCTATTTCATATTGTTTTTCCATATCTAAGCTGTTTGATATGTTCTTCAGATTAGCTTCCAAGAGTTCAAGAATAAGTTACTGGAACCTGGTCTAGTGGATCGCATCGTTGTTTCAAATAAATCAATTGCAAAGGTATATGTGAAAAACTCACTGCAGGATGCAAATCAACACAGTGATGATGTTACTAAGGGTCCTGCTACTGGTACCCCTTCCAGAAGGAATGTTGGCCAGTACAAATTCTATTTTAACATAGGAAGTGTTGAATCTTTTGAGGAGAAGCTGGAGGAAGCCCAGCATGCTCTAGGGATAGATCCTCATGATTTTGTCTCTGTAACTTATGTGAATGAAGTGAACTGGTATCAAGAGTTCATGAGGTTTGCTCCAACGGTCATGCTTGTAGGACTCCTGTGGTTCATGGGGCGAAGAATGCAGAGTGGCCTTGGTGTTGGTGGTCCTGGTGGACGAGGAGGCCGTGGGATATTTAACATGGGAAAAGCAAATATTACAAAGCTGGATAAGAATGCAAAAGATAAGGTATTGTGAGTCATAAGTTAGGGAAGTAAGCTATATATGTTTTGCCATGGATTTTGTACATCCTGTTTCACAAGTAATAAGCACCATGTGGATTGGGAAACATATTGCCTGTTGTCAATATGTTGTCCTGATGTCTATAGATGCTTCTTTGCTGTAGAACAGGCACACAAGGCACTGTAGTCAATATACCTGAGTTCTTCCTTACCTTCGCTTTCTTGGATTGTTGCAGTGCTCCGATCTTATCTCTTTCCTCTAAAATGATGAAATTAAAGATTGATCAACTTTGTAATACTGGCATGTTTCATATGGTGATCTAGGTATTCTTTAAAGATGTAGCTGGCTGTGATGAGGCAAAGCAAGAAATTATGGAGTTTGTACACTTCCTCAAGAATCCAAAGAAATATGAGGAGTTGGGAGCTAAAATTCCAAAAGGTGCCCTTCTTGTAGGCCCTCCAGGCACAGGGAAAACGCTTCTTGCAAAGGCAACTGCTGGAGAATCTGGTGTGCCTTTCTTGTCAATTTCTGGGTCAGATTTCATGGAAATGTTTGTTGGAGTTGGGCCATCCAGAGTTAGAAGCTTATTCCAGGAGGCTAGACAATGTGCACCTAGCATTATATTCATTGATGAAATAGATGCAATTGGTCGAGCAAGGGGTCGTGGAGGCTTTTCAGGTGGCAATGATGAGCGTGAAAGTACTCTTAATCAGTTGCTTGTGGAAATGGATGGATTTGGGACCACCTCTGGAGTAGTTGTACTTGCTGGTACGAACCGACCTGATATCTTAGACAAAGCATTGTTGAGACCTGGTCGGTTTGATCGTCAAATTACCATTGATAAACCTGACATCAAAGGTCGAAACCAGATATTTCAGATCTATTTGAAAAAGCTAAAACTCGATAACAATCCATCTTTTTACTCTCAGCGACTAGCTGCTCTTACTCCTGGATTTGCTGGGGCAGACATTGCAAATGTTTGCAATGAAGCTGCTTTAGTTGCTGCAAGGAATGAAAGTGCACAAGTAACAATGGATCATTTTGAGGCAGCCATAGACAGGGTTATTGGTGGCTTGGAAAAGAAGAATAAGGTACTTCATTCCTTTGCTGCATTTTTCCTTTTTATATACCTCCAGTTCATGATAGGTTGATTGTGTGTTCTCTTATATTTCACTTGGGCATGGATGTACATTGTACAAGGACATTGTTTCTGCTATTGGTGGACATGGCACTGTTTTAATATTCTTATCCTGATCATTTGGAATAGACCCTTTTCCCCTTCCATGTGTCTTTTCACATGCAAGTATGTTGGAACTTTAACTAATTTGATAGACTATTGCATTGAGATGTCTATCTTGTATTGATCCCCCATGACCTCCCATATTTCTGACAACATAAAAATTTCCATTTTAACCATTTTATCTTGCTATTTTTTTCCTGTTTTATATCCTTCTGAATTATATCTGCTTTAAACATGGTGCAATAAGTAAATTATACTAAAGAATTTAAGTTCATTACGTCTTTACTCTCTCTTAGTTTCAAGTTGGAACCCATAAGTTGAAACATACTGAAGAAAAATCTCCTTCTAACAACAGGATTACCCAATGTTTCTTGTTGACATCATTTTAAATTTTCATTTTGATAGTGGACCTGAGGTGTTTATTCTCACTGATCACTGAAAATGCAACTTAATTTGTAATCATTCTTTGCGAGAAATTGTTGAGCTAAATGATTTTTCTGTTTCATTATTTAGGTTATAAGCAAGCTTGAAAGGCGGACTGTTGCTTACCATGAATCGGGTCATGCTGTTGCTGGTTGGTTTTTGGAACATGCTGAACCCTTGCTTAAGGTAACAATTGTTCCACGTGGTACTGCAGCACTGGGTTTTGCTCAGTATGTTCCCAATGAAAATCTTCTGATGACCAAAGAGCAGCTTTTTGATATGACTTGCATGACACTCGGTGGTAGAGCTGCTGAGCAGGTGATTACCAATCTCTCTCATCCTGCATTTTTTTCACTGTATTATAATCAGTGAATTAGGACTTTTAAATAAGTTGGATTCTTGATCTTTCAATACAAGTTCCAACATATATTTAATCTGTTTAAAATTGCACATTAGGGCTTTAGTTGTTTAAGTATTGAGTCAAAGATTCCTTTAGGTTTTGGCCATTTACGCTTGCTGTGAGACTTAGGACTTCTAATTATAAGTTGAAAATCTTGATTGGTTCATAAATGCATGCATTTTATAGTCTTGAATGTGTTCCTTAGATGCATACTGAAGCCTTTAGCTACTTGATTTAAAGAAAATGAGCCTGCAGTCTGGGACCTTCTAAGCATGCTGTGTGTTTTGTGCAATAAAGTTGCACCATGAATTATTGTAATGTTTTTTATCATGTAAAGGTGCTGCTACATCAGATGTGAGGCTTCTTAATCATAATGTTGGTGTATATATATATATATATATTGGTCAAACAACGTTCATTTTTAAGTCATCAATATGATTGAATTCTTCTCCTATATCGTAACAAATTTTTTAAATTAAAATGCAATTTAGTAAATAAATTTTCTCACCATAATAAATATCATCAGCTATATTGATATTGATTAAGAAGATGAAAAAATCTGGGACAAATTGTGTTGTGACTCACCACTTTGGATAAAAAATCTCTTAAAATTCAAATCTAATAAATTTTATGTTTGTCCAACACTTCATTCTATGGAACTAATAAAATAATGAAAAATAAGTAATTCTTTTGCTGTAAAGTAGCATGATACTAGGTAAGAGAAAAAGTAATCTCAAAATCCTCTCTTTTATGTTTGTTTGCATATTATTATTATTATTATTATTATTATTTTTAATCCAAAGTTATTTCTTCAGTAGTCCGTCATTGAATTTTTTTTTCAACCTTTGCGTACCTAATATTATATTTCATCATTAATAATATTGATCATAGCCTTGACAAAAATCAGATATTTTTTTCCTATATGAACAAAATTTCCAGTCATTAATTATACATCGTTTACATCATAAACTGCATTTATTATTAGGCATTTAAAAATGGCAAATATAAAATATTCTTTTCAATCTGAATTAGGGTTTCAAAAGAGGGTGAATTGCTAATTGATCTTGAAAGTTAATCAAAAGTTCATCCAAATTTGCTTAGCTCAAGAGGGGGATATTTATTGGAGCATGAAACCGCGGGGTGGGGGGTGGTGGGGATAGAAGACAATGGCCAAAAATATAACACAAATCCATAGAGAGAGTTTGTATGTAAAATTTCAAAACTACTCTCCAATCAAAAGCTTAGAAACTTAACTCTAAAAACACAAGTTGCCATGTGTCAGAACTCCGTTTCTTTGAGTTTTGAAATCTCCTTATGCACCTGTCATCTTTCCAACCTATCTCAGCCATATTCAATATATGTCATAGATTTAGTTTATCCAAAGCAATTCTATGTCTTGCTATACATGTATTTTTTTTATTCCCTTTGTTTTCTCTGTGCGTGTTTTTCTTGTGACATCTCATTGTCAAATGATGCATAAAAGCTTTTTTAAGGTCAAAAAGTCATTCGAGGAAGCATTTTGCAAGATTGCAAACACATAGTTTTATTTAATGCTGTCATAACATTTGTTAAATGTACAAACTGTAAGGCCTAATAAGATCTTAAGTTTGTAGCATCACTTGACATCTGGTTCCTTGCTTTTATGTTAAAGAAAACCGTCTTTCAATAGAACATGTTTCTTGGAGCAGCTTTAAACCAGTGCAGAGAACAATGCATTTGATATAATGCAGCAAGGAACTCTTATTTCTGTCAAATCTACCTGTCTTTTTTTATCTGATGTGTTCACATGTGTGTATGGGTATTTTATTTAGCTATAGGAATAGTGCTTATTGCACCATTTAATGGAATAGTTCCTTAAGAGCAAGCAATTCAGACTTTAAAGTTGTTGTATGATTTAAATGGTGCTACATATAATTCTCCTGTGGGCAGGTTTTGCTGGGGAAGATTTCAACCGGAGCGCAAAATGACTTGGAGAAGGTCACTAAGATGACCTATGCCCAGGTGGCAGTTTATGGTTTCAGTGATAAGGTGGGCCTTCTTTCTTTTCCTCAAAGGGATGATACGTTTGAGATGAGCAAGCCCTACAGCAGTGAGACGGGGGCAATTATAGACTGCGAAGTTAGAGAATGGGTGGGCAAGGCATATGACTTTACGGTTAAATTGATAGAGGAGCACAAAGAGCAAGTGGCACAGATAGCAGAGCTGTTACTTGAGAAGGAGGTTCTACATCAGGATGACTTGGTTAGAGTTATGGGAGAACGACCATTTAAAACTAGTGAGCCCACAAATTATGATAGGTTTAAGCAAGGATTTGAACAAGATGACAAGGAGTCTAAGGAAACGACAAAGGGTGGGACCTTGGAGGATTCCGGGTCAGCACCTTTGGAGCCGGAGGTTGTCCCTGCATAGTGGTTGGAAAAAGATTAGTTGTGTAAATGTTTTTCTTTTTTAAATCACTTTGTAGTCTTGACTTCATATGGAACCAAAAGGTGTAAAATTCACGGAATGTGCAAATAATACCATCTTAGTGCTTTCAAAAGTTATTCCTTGTGGAGCTTTTTCACTAAATTGCTAGCCGGATATTAGAAATGTGACAAGCTGTTTGACGCGGCATAAATGTAATGGTTGCAAATCGTTTTTAGTCGATTCTTTAGTGTAGAAGGTCGTTCGCCTGCTTTCTTTTAATTGGTAAATCCTGCGTTGTCTTTTTTTCTCTCTCCAAATTATCATGGGCAGAGGCAGTTCGCTTCAGTCAGTCATAGCACCAAAAAAAAAAAGAAGGCAGGGAATCAATTGTGCTCACGTGCTCCTTTTTTTAGAGTAAATTATAAATTAGTCCCTCTAATTTAGAGGAATAAATTAATTAGTCTTTTTTTTTTGAAAAATTAATTTTCTAGTTTTCTAATCAGATCATATTTAATTTTAATATTATTTTATTCAACAAAATCTCTCATCAATTATATATATATATATATATTTTTTCTTCTTTTGTTTCTTAAGAAAAAAATAAAAAAAATGAAAAAGATTAAGTTTTGAAAAGATTTAAAACATAAGAACCAAATAATAAATTCTTAAAATAAAAAAATAATTAATTTATTTTTCAAAACTATAGGAACTAATTTATAATTTACTCATTTTTTTTAACTTTTGTCTTTTTTTTTTATTTAACTTCGTCATGTCCGTGATTGCGATGCACCCAACAAGTTTTAGTTTTAAGTTCCGTTCTATGCGCTAATTGGTATCTCGGGTGATGATTTTGCCACATCCCTAATTAATAATGGCACCCCTCAACAAAGTATCTTTGCATTGTTGAGGAGCTTATAACAGATTCTGCTGAGGTGTGTTATACATGCATCTTAATTTCTCAAGAATAAGAAAGAACAAAGACTTTCATGCAACCTAACCTCTTAGAAGAATTAAAGAGGATGCGGCCTAGTTACCACAATACTTTTTAGCTAGATAGATATTCGGATATTATTTTTTCCTCCTTTTATTCATGTAGCAGATGACAATTGATAACTCTTAAGTGAAAAATTCCATATGTGGAGTAAATAGTTAAACCTATTGTTATATAATAATTCAAGTTTTTGATATGGCTCTATATTTTTAATTATATTTATAATATTATTGAATAATATTTAAGCTTTCAATATATCATTCCTATTCATTTTTTGGATTAAAGATTTTTTTTAAACCGAAATGCTTCTTATATATATATATATTCAATCAAGAGCAATTTGGTCAAAAAAATTACTCATGATTTGAAATTAGTTGAAATAACATATTAAAAATTTAAATATTATTCAAGAATATAATTGACAAAATTAAAAATATAGCAACAAATTGAAAACTCAAACTATTATATAAAGATAAATTTAGCGATCTATAATTGATAATTCTATATGAATATCTTACTCGCTCTATAAGATATATGATAAGTAGAGATTGTGTATGTAGGCTCTTTATTTTAAAATTTGAGTTTGTGCTTAAAAGGATTGCATACCAATATTATATGATCCACGGGTGAAATAAGAGGCACTCAATTGGTCCGGATAGGAATCCATATTTATTAGCTTCTTTGCAATCGGACTACATATCCTAAAGGTGTAGACTAATAATTGGGGTCGGAATTTGATGGACTACCCGAAAATCATGGGAATATACTAATAGAGTATAATTGGTTTACTTGAGAGCTAAGACACTCGAAGATCGAAGAAAACTTGTGTGATCATAATCGAACGGACACCAAACTAAGTTTGAGATAGATAAATTAACAAAATGATTGAATTATACGAAAACCATTCTCGTGAAATATTATTACGGATTAAAGAATTCTTCTTGATAATTGAGTAGTCATGATGTCTTGTCGAAGCCAATCTTAATTTATATATCGAGAGATAAAAAAATCATTTTTTATTTCTTGATGCATTACCAATGTATTTAAAAGCCTAATGAGTTATATTTATTAAGTTTGACAACGATACGAATAAAGAGAAGTGGAGAATTATGAAGAAAATGGGAATTGAAATAATTGATTTCAATTCTTTAAGCACTAAGAGAATTTTGAAAAAATTATTTCTCGAAATTCGAGTAAAAGTAATTTAAGAAATAGTTTTCTAAATTGACTCGCCTAAAATATCCAACTCAACTTATTTGTATGGTCCCTCTATTGTTGGGTCATTGGGCTCAAAGGTGTTGGGCTAATAGGCTTAAATGAAAGTCTATAAGGGATCTTTTAAAAAGAGAGCCATTTTTTAAAACTTTCGAGAAAATTTCATTAGAACTTAAATTGAGGTTTGAATACATATAAATGCATCAAGCCACCCTCTCTTTCATTAGAGAAGGGCTGATCGAAACCCTCCTAAAAGTAAAAAGGTGGAATTTTCTTCATTGCTTAAGAAAAGTAAAGGTAGCATTCCTAGATTGCCACCTCTATCATGTTGGTGTCCAAAGGTATGTGGATCATCACTAGAAATGAGACACTTAAGTGGTTCAATCTGCAACTTCGTGACTTTGCTTCAAGAGGTAATGAATGAAACTTTTTATTATAATTTGTTTGATTCAACGATGATCTTAGGAGTTATGATTGGAGGAAAACAAAATTTTTATTTATTTTGCTCTTCCGTAGTAAGCTTTTTCTTCAATTGGTATCGAAACCACATTGAATATTTAATTATATTATCATTGATTATGATTAATTGCAATTATGAATCTATATTTTTTGGCAATTTATGAAAAAAATTGATTTTGGGACTATTAAGACGTTGTGCGCTATCGTTGCGAAGCATGGCCAGCGACCACCTAAGCTAGCGCGAGATGCTAATCAATGCTAGCCAATGTCTAGGGTAAGGTAGCGCTAGCCAAGAGCCAAGCCAGCCTAGTAGCTAGTAGCCTGCCCATACTAACATTAGGTCTAGCTAGGCTAGTGTTAGCATAGGCTAGCTCGCCCATGCTAGCACTCGGATGCGAGCCACGCTAGCACCAAGGCTAACTTATTGGGCTTAAGGCCTAAGACTTAGAAAAATAAATTATAATATTTTTAAATTTATGTTTTTTAAGAAAATGCTAAGAAAAATCACATAATTTATAATTATCATAAAATAAAAATGTTTCATTAATTAGAAATTACTATGTATCAATGTGATTAAAGCAAGAATGAATGGTATAGATGAGTCGACTATATAGTTTTTTTGTTTTTTTAAGAATGAATGCTTGTAATTGTTTTGAATAAATAAGACTTGCATGTTCCGTCTTCTCTATTTTTTGATGTACATTCTTTTCTCATCTTACTCCTTTAGAATGTACCTTGAGGTTTTTTATTTAAAAATATAAATTGAAAGATAGATTAGTAGTATAAATATGAGTGAAGATGCTAAGAAAAAAACAAGATTCGAAGCCAAATGAAGTTTTGAGAGTTCTTCACCAAGGTTTTGATCTACTAGTCTTCTTACTACTCGAGAAGACTCGGTTTTAGAAATCCATTACCATTCATTAGTTTTTGAGTCATGTATACATAATGTGCATGATAGGTTTAATATGAGTTTGATATGATTGTATACTAGAATGCATGATAGGATGAATTTAATAAATCAAATGATGAGACCTAATAAAAGAAAAATCCTTTAATCAAATATCAAGTTGTTTGCCTTTTAATATTATGAGGAGAAAAACCTCTTGGTCATTGTTAATTTATTGAGATAACTCAAGGTCACTTCTTCCTTGAGGATATCAAATCATGGGACATGATATATTTCTAAACATTTAGGTCCAACTTGAAGTAAATTATTGGGTTTATTGAGATAACTCAAGGCCCAATGAATTCATAGGCAAGGATTGACATGTATAAGATGTGAGAAGATAAAAGTGTTATCATACTAATGAGATTAGAAATTACATTGGATGTAATCGGTAAGTAGTTACATACCCGATTCTTTCATGTATGACTTGTTGAGATAACTTAAGGTTAATACATGATTGGATAAGATCCTAACCCACTATGGAAAATGATAGATAAGTTTTCTCAAATTCTATATTGAAGATTATAGAACTTGAAGAAAATAGTGGAAGCAAATATAAATTTTCACTTTTTAAGTTATACTTTTGTTTTTGTAATACAAATTAATTAATCAAACCATACGTTATTTCTATCCTATCGGGTTGTTGCTCGAATGACTTGTAATACATCGATAAAATCGATAATTAATGAAAGTAATGTCTTCAATGGCACAAACTTCCTTGACTAAAAAATGAATACGAGGATTGTCTTCTAACATAAGAAGATACTCTATACGATAGAGAAACCCCTCCTAATAGAGCCTCCTTAAGGTCAAGCTAAACCTTATGCGGTATGGCTCAAGCATAAAGATTATATGATTATTACTCAAAGCATCATCCTAGCTATTATGAAAATGGAACATAAGCACCACCATAAATGTATAAGCACTTATGGGAACATAGCAAAGTGGAAGAATCTATTTGAGAAGAATACCAAGCATGAGTTATACGAGGTAGCCAAAAAGCTCTTTAAAGCCGAAGGGATGAAGAATCCAATTGTAAGAAGTATGTCATTGAGATGATAGGTTGTATTGACAGTCGATCGAGCTTGAAGTTAGAATGGATGTTAAGCTATCTATATGCCTAGTGCTGTAATCATTGCCCAATAGTTTTAGATAATTTATCTTGAACTTCAACATGATGCACATGAAAAAGACTCTTAGAGAGTTACTATCTATGCCGAGAGAAGCTTAGTTTGAGATAAATAAAAAGAAAAAAAGAGTGTTGTTCTTCTTGTTGATAGGCACAAAGGTAAGATAAAGGGTAAGCTCAAGCTTAAGTACTAAACGAAGAATCCTTCCATTGCACCTATTAAAGGTGTTAAAAAGGATAAGGCTCGAAAGAGTGAAAAAGAT